GTACAGACTCAAAACTAAAAACTTAAAAGTACATAAGAGCTTCTACTGGTACTCTAGAAGCCTGCGGGGTATTAACCGGTCTTTGTGCGGGCCTTTGTGCAATATCTTCTTAGAGACGGTCTAAATCATCCATTACCTGGCGAACGAAGGTCATCATAGTAGCAAAGAACATAGACCTAGTCATTTCCTCACATTCGTGACATTTCGTCACGACATAAATCAGCTATTTCCTTGATCCTTGTTCTGATAATTCTTTTTCTTGAAGTAGATGCCCGATTTGCTGTGCCCGGGATTCCAACACTTGTGCGTTAGTGTTGTTTTGGTCCTGTAGTTGTTGCACGTTTTCTTCTAGTTGGCAAATTAAAACGTAGCAATGCCCTTTTCTACCTTAAAATCTTTTGTTTGCTGGACCATTTCATTTTCAAGGGCAAACAACTTTTTCTTTAGAACCGTTACTTCTTTGTCATATTTCTGCTTCAACTGGTGGACTAATTTGGCCAACTTTATTTGAGCGTTCAGCAAATCTTTTTCGGCCTTTGTCAAGTCATCTACATAGTCATGTACCTTCATTCTCAGGTTGTTGATGAGTTTTTCATCTTTCTCGCTCTTGACAGGCATTTTGGTTGCTATCCTCATGTGCCGGAGTTGGTCTCGGAGCACCTCATTCTCTCGGGTCAATTTTCTCTTTTCACCTTCGAGTACTGAGTGACAGTCATAGAACCCTATTGGAGGCACTCAAACTACCTCCAATAGTCCTCCCTCTGAGTGATATGTAGAAATTTCTCTAGAAATAGCTGAGAGAACTGATCCCAAGTCAAAGTCAGTGACCTAGCTAGTCTAGCCAAACAATAGTCCCTCCACCAAGTCTTGACGAAACCTAACAGACGAAAAGCAGCAAAGTCAACCCCATTGGTATCCACTATCCCCATGTTCTGAAGAACCTCGTGATAGTTGTCCAAATAGTCCTGAGGATCCTCTGAAGATGTACCGCCATAGGTAGCCTGTAAGTCATTGTCAAATGCGAGGATCCTCAACTTTTCTTCTAAGGCATGGATGGTTGCTTTATACTTCTTTTCCTTTTCTCCCCAGGCCAACCACTCTTGGATTTTATCATCAAAAGCTTGGATATGAGGCCTTTTGGCGGGCCTCTCAGGCTCGGGCTCTGGCTCCTCATTAATGTAGTTTTTTCTTTCAAACCATGTGGCATAGCCTGGATCTACTTCACCTTTTGCAAGATCGGGCACTTGGGTATCCTCTTTCAAGTATCGGCAACCATCCCAGATTTGTTGGACTAAAGCCTCGGGAAGTGGGGCTTCGGGGTGTAGTTCAATAACTTGGACACTCAGGTCTTCATCCTGAGGCACTACTTGATATCTTCCCAACTGCCTCAGGACCCTCTAGGGCGTATAGGGTTGGACACTTCTCAAGCCCATCAATAGCAAATAATTCTTCGTGGCTGATATGTATATGACTTCCCTCACCGAGAGCCATCCCAAATTCCACTCAATTTGATTTGCCCTTAAAGTTCTCAAGTGGACGATCCAAGCTTCGACCCCTTCCGGAGAGTTGTAATCTTTCACTCTTTCTTCATAGTTTTCAATGAAGTTGCTCTTGCTAGGGCCATAGTTCATAAATTTTGGATGATGGCGAAGGTGTTCAATTAGCCACATTCGTAAAAGGATATTACACCTTCAAAGAATGTCGCTCCCGCCTTACACTGTGTCGGTGCCCGGTAGATGTCCGACAATATCAATGGAGCAAGTGTGTGATCTTCCTTGGCAGTTAGGACTTGCGCAATTCTAGCCATACGGATATCAATTGTACCTTTTTCATTTGGGAAGACCATGACGCCCAGAAATGCTACTATGAAGGCAAAGCGATGATGAATTTTTCATGTTTCTTTGCTTTGCTTGGTAGTCAACCCTTTTTTATGCGTTTCAAACCCTTCTGGATGCCCATACCTGGAGTAGAGGAAGTAGAATGAACAACAACCCTCGCTTACACGGTTCTTTCTTATTTGCTTACTGATGTTATAGTATCAAAGAAATGGTGCACTGACATAGGCCTCGGGAATATAAGCTTCTGATTTCTTAAGTTCCTGCCGAAACCTGCGGAAGACATTGCGGACGGGATCCCAAAAGGTTATAGTATCAAAGAAATGGTGCACTGACATGGGCCTCTAAGCGGAAGACATTGCGGACGGGATCCCAAAAGGTCACTAAAGCCTTGATTAGATCATTTTGGGGCTTGACTTTCATGATATCTGTGAGAGCACTCGGATGTTCAACTACCCAGTCTTGCCCCTCTTGGTCCAAATCATACTACCGCATTTGAATTTGTAGTGGAGCTTGTCCTATGACATTCAATGACAGATTCTAGATGGTATTCATTCTGTACCTGTGAACGGGTAGGGTTAGGGTTGACTCTAGTTTACAAGACAGACCGGCAGACTCTTTTTGTAAGAACCAGTTTTCTTTTCTTTTTGTTAATTTTCAAAATGGTCATTTCTACAATAGTGTCCCTTTCTTACTTTTAAATAAAGCTTTGAGGTCTAAGTAAGGTACTTTTCTGGGAAAAGTGATGATTTATTGGCAGACATGTCCGTTCTTAGCAAAAATAGCCCTTCGATAATGTAATGCGTTCTAAGGCTATTCCGGCAAAACGGTGCAAGACTTAACCGAAATTGGGTCGGCTTTATTTTTTGACCAATGGACACATTTTATTTATTTGGTTTGAAAAAAAATTGGGGTCAGCACCGATGAGGTTTTCCTACGTATCTCACATCCGGTGAGAATCAGACTCGCATAGTTCGGTCAGTTTTGACATAATTGAAAAACATGATATTGACCCATTTTTTTTTGAAATACATTTTCTCTTCATATCTCTTTTTTTTCAAAAATTTTGGCAGAGTTTCGAGGAATTTTCAAATACCGGGGTTTTCAGAATCGGGTGAATTCTCTATCCTACCTCACTCTTGATTTTTATATTGTTTTTCTTTACTTATACGGTCAATATATAAGCAGAAGCAAATAAATGTACAAATAGCGTAAGATGCATCAGGATGGCCTTTCATTTCGGGTACACCTGTCCTAGACGGACCCAACCCCTGTGTTGAGTCCCCAAAGTCAAATGCACGTGATGCAAACAAACATTCCTACTAGGGATCTAGTATGAGGTTTTGTTATTCTAGGTTTAAACCTGGTGTTGTGTTCTAGACCTGGCTTACCCAAGCGGACAACTTGAGCCGGGGTGGGAGCGAAGTACCGGGAGCACGAAAGTCTACCCGGCCTAGTGGCTGATCCATCCTCGTTCTATTTGGTACGACCTTTAACAGAAAAGCAATCCACGCGAACGTGTGCACTATCTTTTAGAAGACTCAGAAGGGAGGCGTAAGAAGACAGTTGAATACAATTCAAATAATATCAAAGCGGTAAATAAGCAGCAATTAGCACACTATGCCTACAAACACAGTAATATCAACAAACAATAAGCCAAGTATACATCACATTAACAAGCTCGAATTCTGAACCCTGAACCAGAGATTCTGGGTTCTTGTCCCCAGCAAAGTCGTCGGAGCTGCCACACCTCCTTTTTACCCGAGGGGGATATAAGGAATTTTTTTCAATTAAAGTGACATTATTCGATATGGGATTATTTATTTAATTTCACAGTCGCCACTTGGAATAATTTATGGTGTCCCAAGTCACTAATTTATTTATTTTTAAAATCCCAAATATAGTAAAATTTAACTTCGTTTAAAGTCTGCGAAACAAGAAAAACTAGGTAAGGGATTCTGTTAACCCGGGAGAAGGTGTTAGGCATTCTCGGGTTCCGTGGTTCTAGCACGGTTGCTTAGCAATTTATACTTGGGGTCTAATTACCCATTTTAGGACCTATGTTTATCTTATCTTTTACCGCTACTAATCACTTGATAATCCATATTTAAGAAATTAACCCAAGATGAGTTATGCGTACATATACTCAATTCCTAACACTTAGTTTATTTAAGAAAAAGGTTTAGTCAAAGTTGCGCGAACACATACTTTGGATTTATTTGAGAGAAATGTAATCATAATAACAATTCAAAACTCGCGCCTAAAGCATTTCTACGAATATTTGATTAAGGCGTTTTAATAAAAAAAACGTTTAACCATGGTCACGCTAACGTATACCTTGGCATCACAACTATGTCAAACGTCTGACTAAGGATATTCAACATGAAGTGGTATTACTAAAGGTAATTTGGTCGAGGTCGACTAAACAGGATTTTTGATGAATATTTCCTCTGTTTGTACTTTTAGGGTTAATCAGGGGTATGTCACTTACAAATAGAAAGAGAGATCATATTCTCTGATAAGAACACTTTATGAAAAGTAGACTTTATCTCTAAGATTGAATACAATTACTACCTTTCTAAAGAGATTCAATCCTCTATTTTTCGCACATTTTCCACCAGATCCAAGAAAGGTCCAAATATTCTAATCTTTTTCTATCATTAATCATTGTCAGAAGAAGGAATCATCCACCTCATTCAATATTGGTTAAACATTCTCACTATTTACTCTAATGTCATTTATTGCTTCTTATTTCTTCCTCATTAATGGTCTTAAAACGTTAAATGCTCCTTGCGTTTGATCCACTATTAGTATCGCACTATGTTATTCTTATTAATCGGTTATAGATTAGAAGTTATTGTTATTAACTAAGTTTAACCCCTCTATTACCTACATTTAATTAGTTTAATCAACGATCTACATTTTTGGTCAAACACAACTCAAAACATTTTTAATACTTCATTTGTTTTCTATAATTTGTTTAATTACCAGACTAGTAAGTATATTCCAAGTTGGGCGGGTTATATTTCTGCGCACTAACCCTAGCTTAACATAATGAAACCCCAAATGAGGGTCCTTTTTTAGCTCTTAAAATGGCAAAAAATTACATGGTTTGCAGTACCTGGTAAATAACACCAAGCCTAAAATGGAATAAAACAACAATGATAGTTGAAATAAGAAGCCTGATCAGATCAACCAGGGCAGAACCAGTGCTTAAGAATTTGATAATATCCGTCCCAGCCTTACATTGAGCTCTATTCTCTAGCACTAGAGACAGAAAAAAGACAAGGGATAACTACCTTACCTATATCGCTATACACATTTGACTGCCAGATTTCTTGAGGTATCAACAACCTCATCACATAAGATGATGAGGAAAAGAAATAAGAGAAAATAATACGAAGAAAATACATCTTTAAGGTGGAAAAGAAGCATATACAATATTTCCTATACAACTTGATCATTTCACCATCATACTCATTTCATGCAGGGATAGAATTTTCAGAAATTTGGACTCGCCAGGAATAGTATCGAATGTACATTGCATTGAGACTCATAGAAGCACCAAAACCCAATACTGATGCTATCATTACTGAATAGACTGCCTGCAATTGAAGCTGCCAAAAGACAAGATTTCCAGGCATTACTCCTCATTTCATATCTGCCAAAAGTGTTCTGTGTGTACAGTTTTCTTAGACCTTTTCTTTTCCGCACTGGGTTTGGTTGGGGTGCGGATTCATGCATGAGTTGTGAATCTGGTGCATCTTTTAACGGTTAAGACTTTTTCCTCTAGAATTTTTTATGGTTAAAGATGACACAAGATCTTCAATGGACAGACTAGAAAATATCCAAGAGTTGTCAAATATCAACTGCATAATAGAGAGTGCATCTTACCATAGAGTAGAAAACATGTAGAGTAATGGCCACAAGAGCAAACTCTAGAGCGGCATATGTCCATATGTACTCTCTAATAGCTGCATTTCAAATGAAAATTCTATAACGTAAGTCGGCTAGTATTTGATAAATAAAATTTAGGGGCTCAGACGTACCTAGGATGACAGCAAAAATAGATGCCAAAAGACCTAGTGTAAACGCAAATGGTGCAGCAATCACAAGCGCCTGAGTTTTCATGTCATGAACCTTCAAGAGAGATTTAAAATATGAATTCCGCAAATAACAAAATATAAAGATAACATTCCACCTTTCTACTTAAGAGTTGGAAAAAGATATAAAAGTTGATGGATGACATTACACGTAGTTGGCATCATCAAATTCCACCTTTCTACTTAAGAGTTGGCAAAAGATATAAAAGCTGATGGATGTGCATTCTATTCCAATGCTGACATCAAAATGCAGCTGACAGCAAGCGTGCACACACACTAATGTTTTTAATTGAGAAAGGCAAGGTAATCAATTCTACAAATTATTGTTTGATAAAACATTATGACTTTTTTTTGCTTCCTAAGCAAGGTGGATTTTTTAGTCAAATAATCAAATGAAAGAGGGCGATGAAAAATTATGCTCAATTTTATTATGTTTAGTAGTTTAAACTCTAATGAAATGTTACATAAAAGGAACAACATGATGGTCTAATTTCTGAGGCAACATGGGCGGATTTTCATATAAAAATTGGGTGCTCGAGCATCCATTAACCTCGACTCGGAGTATGTATAGTTACATAGAAAATTTAAGGAAACAGATATAATTAAACAACAAGCACCCAGGTAACAAAAAACCTGGTGGGTGCTTTGGTTTAGAATGGGTGCTGGAGGGTAATGAAAGTTGAAGGTTGAGAGATCGAAATTGACTCCTAGCAAGATTAAGATTGTTTTACTCCCTTTTTTTTTCTTATATTATCAAGCACTATTTTTTCTTTTATCCCAATTATTAGGTCATCTTTTTTGCTTTTCACTGGCGATTTTTTTGACCCAATACTATTTATTTTTTTAATTCTTTTGATTCTGACTTTGTTAAACCTTTTTCCCCCTCTTTTCCTTCTACTTCATCTAATTCGCTATAGCAAAGAAAGAAAACGAAACATTGCTTCAAAAAAAATTAAGAGTTCCTCCAGAACGGCAAAATACACTAATTTTCTTTCTTGTCAAATGCGTTATCCATCACAGTTTTATGGCATCTGTAATATTAGTACTATGGGTTTCTCATTAATTTTTTGTCGTGTTTAAATAGTTGCGCACTTATACGATTTGATTGGTAGTAACTTTACGTCAAATAAAGTTAAGCACCCATGAACCCAAAATCCTGGATCCATCACTATGAGGCAACAACACAATTATGCAGAGACGATATGTTGGAGAAAAATTATTGCTTTTGAATGCATCACCAGGGAAGAATAGGCCAACACTAAGATAGAGGAACTGTTGGACATCTTAAGCTTTTCCAACATTATGCAACCAAGTTTGGAAAAATGAAAGAAATGCCATATAGTTGCACTTTTCTTTACTCATCTAGAATATATTCTGCTGTAATTTTTCATTTTCTAGCTATTCAAAATCCGAGCTCAATTATTTCTCAGGACAGAGGACCTAGCATCATAGTCGTGACAAAATGAGATAGCACAGTGTAATAACAAGATGTAGAAGGGGCGAACCTACACTCTGGTTAGGGTGGTCAATTGATTACCCTTTGTCTTGAAAATTACATAGCATATATAGGTAAAATATTAGGTTTTAAAGGTGTATAACATATATTGAACACCCTTTGTCGAAATTTTTTTTACTCCTTTCAAGTTTGAACACCCTTGGAGAAATTCCTGGCTTCGCCAATATGCAAGCAGAGGCTAGGGCTGCCTTATGTTCTAAAGGGACATCCTTTCCAACTAGGCTCACTGGGGAGCTTATAGTCATGTAAAAATGATTATCAAATGGATATTGCTCAAAACCCAATATTCAATCAAAGTAAAAATGTTTTGTCTAGTGGATAGACGTACTTATAGTGGGGAATTAATAATAGAGATCATGCCATCTGTGCTTCAGAATCCTCTCTTTTTCTTGGATATGGTAAACCTCAATCCAATAGGAAACAAACAGTGGCTTTACCCACTTTGCTCCCTCAGTGACTCGAAAGCCCAACCTCATGGTTGGAGCTGGAGGATTCCCTTACTACTAGGCTCTCTCTCACTTATTCAATCATCTCCATTTTTGAGAATATGTGTCTGCATATTATGCAATCATCTAGGCAGGGCCTTGATTGCCTCTCCTCTTGCTCAGACTTATGATGTTCGAACTTTGGGTTCAATCTTCGTTTTTTTAAATCAGTTTCACCCCTACAGGTTAGTATATAGGTAGGAAGTCTGTATCTTCTGCCTCCTCAGTTACATACACAACAGCAGAACTAAGAGGGACCAAATTCCCCCC